TCCTCAGTTCCAAGTTGCTTCTTTCCTTGTTTAGTTTCCACCCATTGCTTCTTGTTCTACTCTCAGGTGCCTTGGAGAATAGTTAAACTCCCTCTTCTTTGTGGAAACCCCTGAGATATTGGAACACTGCTATCAAGTCTCCCCTAGTCCTTAGACATACCCAGTTCCTGCAACCATTCCTCATATGTTTTAGCCTCCAGTCCCCTAATCATCTTTGTTGCTCTTCTCTCTTTCTAGAGTCTCCACATCTTTTTTACATCATGGCGACCAAAACTGGATGCAGTATTCCAAGTGTGGCCTTACCAAGGCATTATAAAGTGGTATTAACACTTCACTTGATCTTTTATGTAGCCTGTGTTGGCTTTTTTGGCAGCTGCTGCACACTGCTGGCTCATATTTAAATGGTTGTCCATTGTATGATGAATACCAAGAGAAGCATAAAGGAAAGAGAATTGGTGCTGATAAGCTTTTTAATCTGAATGAAATAATTGGAAACATTAATTCTATATCATATCTAAGTCTCCATTGGACATGAGAGTGTATGAAATATGATTATTGTTCTGTATATAATATGACTCATTTTGACTGAGCAAATGAAACCAAAAGGTTCATTTGGTTTCTCACATCCTGCTAACAATTCAGAAAATTATATTTTCTCTGAAACTGCAACTCTGGCTCATTAAAAAAGCCAATACCCCCATGCCCAATTTTCATTACCATAATAACATGCTATATAGCCACCCTAATTTTTTCTGTAATGTATATAAAAAAGTAAAATACATTGATTTATCCTTTAATATTGCAAAGAAAATTGGTTTCTCCCAACCCATTATTTTAATAGTAGAAAGAAAATGTATGTTATCTGATGAAGCTGATGCTTTAGCTAAGGGAACTGTTCCTTGCATTAGCTAAGTTAAATATTCACAGGTGTGACAAAATTCAGCACCTTTTCTCATTTTAATTCTGCAGCCTCCAGGGAAGACTTTTTTAAACTAGATTCCCAGCAAGTAAAAATTCTTGTAAAATGACATTCTTGATTTTGTTCTCTCTGTATTGTCTAAACATTGACAATTTTATTGAAATTTTATTGAAACCCTGTTTCAACCCTATTGGAACTGTGATCCTTTACTAAAACACTGGGATTCTAGGAGTTATTTGAAGAAATATTTCATTTCCATTGATTGAATCAAAATTCAGAATAGCTGATGTGAGAAAAAAAGCACTGTAATTTCCTTAGCCAGTGTGAATTCTACCAGTTATATCAAGAATAGGCAACCTACTACCAAAATTGTATTTTGTCCCTATGTCTTTTCTAGTAAATAACCTAGTCCATTTTTAAGGACAGTGGAAACGTTTACCACTGTGTTAAAGTAGGAAACACATAAAGATTGTACTATCCTAAAATATCCTAAATGTAGAAGATAACCAGGCTGAGGGATCAAATGCATATCAGTCTTGAGTCCTTTCATGCCCACAAGAGCTCTAAGTCCAATTCCTCTTGAATTCCACTGACTATTATCTAGCACTTATGTACCACTTACTTTGACTGTTGGTAGTTCAGATTCTGTTAGAGTGCTTTAGCATTCAATAAACCTATATGAATTGCACATATTACTGATTTCTGCCCTTGACACTAAAAAATATAAACATCAAATACAAAATATCCTTTTAAAAAGTCCTAAAACAGGTTTACCATTTTAGTTACAAACATTTTTTAACGAAATCCAGCTACCTCAAACAGGAAATAAAGAGTATTAAATCCTAACCCTGTCCACTTTATAAATGAACCTACTCCTTGTGACTTCCTATTTTCTACAAAAAAAGGTGATGTGTATCCTCTAATCCAAAATGTATCCATCCCTAGATTACAACTTACTTACTTCTTTGGTCTTTCTGCTGGCTTGTTTTTCCAAAGCCTACTGTTGTCACTGAATTCAAATTGGAACAATGACATTAAAAATTTCCATCTAATTCATAGTTTCTTCTTCCATCAGAGTCACAAAGAAAAGATTACTAGGAGGTTCGTGCATAGTGTAAGAAAATGAGATCTCATAATAAAACTAGCAAAAGTCTTAGACATATGTAAGAAAGGACCTTGATTTGATCAAAATCAAATTTATTAAATGAGCATGGATTTGCTTCCCATGCTCATGCTTCAAGGGAAACTAGCCATCCATTTCTACTTTCAATATTATGAATCCTGCAAGAATCGTATCTTTCTACTGAACACAGTAACACAGTCAAATGGTATCCCAGTCTTCAAAAGAACTGATTTTCCCCTCCAATCAATAATGTACTGATTTATTAATTAAACTGATGTATGTAGCCATCCAATTGTCAGACAGTGATTCACTCCTTCTCCACCTTTACATTTTTACTTACATAAGGTATTCCAGCTGCTCGATTCCTTTCTACTACAGCTTTCACATCATTAAGATCAGTGTAATTCCATCGACAGATATGGAAGCCGAGATTCCAATAGGAAGGCATCCATGGAAGTCCTATCAACTTTACAATTAAAATACAAAGCAAAATTTAAGAGGTTAGCATTTCCTTTTGCATTGTATTGTTTATAGAGAAGGATAATATTTTCTTGAAATGTAGACAAAGAGGAAGATTACTGAAATCTCTGAACCACCATGCTACTGGACAAGACATATTCTTATTGATTAAGTTTCTAGGGAAAAGGCAATGCATTTTTAAGATGCTACCAGAATGCAGAAAAAAATTAGATTTCTCAGTGAGTGAGCATCCTCACTCATTGCATTACAGTGTGATATGCTGGCTTGACAGACATGGATAGAAAGACATTATATAGGGTGGTGAATACAGCACATACTTTGGGGTTGCATGAGATTGAACAGCAGCAACATTAGCAACAGAAATTTTCTTCTAGATGATGCCCCAAAACTACTAGTTAAGGATTTTGATGAATTGGGAAGAGAGGTTGGCTGAGATGAGGATTTGATCTAATTCAGAGAAATATTCATATGGCAGTGACAATCAGCTGTGTCTTTTGTCATTTTTGCTTGTGTATCTGGTATGTCCCTAATCTACAATAACTTCTCAAGAAAAGCAGATCTGCTCTTGCTAGTATAAACAACAATATATAGAGCTCTACTCTATAAAGATCAAGTAGAAACATTATAGAAAAAAACATACCAATAGATATTGTTGCACTACTTCTTCCGGAGTATTTCCTAAGAAGACGTAGAAATCTAAAACTCCACCAATTGTTCTGTATGTTACTGCAGGAGCAGGTTGAAGAGCAAAATCTGTTAGGAGAAATTCTTGAAATTAATTGAGACTTAAACACAAGAATATTGTCTTTATTTTTACTCCTTATTTATTGTGTAAATTGAATATCTGAATGAATAGGAATCTTCCCAGGACTAGCATGTGCCTTTCAAAGTTTTTCCATATTTCAGATTTCAGTTGGAATTTTCAGTTGTAAAAAGAATCCTACTATCCTTTTAACAGTCTAACAAAATATGCACTATTCTTAATTGTTCCTTGAGAATCTCATGAAGATTGAATGGAGGACCACCAGTGTATAGAGAGACTGGGTGATTTAAAAATGAAAATTATGTTGAGGATTCCAATGTAACTACATAGGCATAGGTCCAGAGGTGGGTTCCTACTGGTTCAGGCCGGTTTGGCCAAATAGATAGTAACTTGACCTGCCATGCCCCTGAACCAGTTCTCTCTGTGGCATAGTAGGTGCCACCATCTTGTTTTTAGCTTCTGCGCATGTGCAGAAGCATTTTTTTAGTTCACAGTGCGTCCCTGAGCAAATCGGCAGTAACAGCAGCCGGAACCCACCCCTGCATAGGTCAATTGAATTTTAAATCTATAAAATTACTTTAGAGAACGTTATCTGAAACTGTAGCAACAATTTTCAGTGGATCTGCATAGAAATACATCTGGAAGAAAAACAACATAGAAACAATATGGAATTCTTCATAAATATTTATACTGCCTCTGTAGAATGCTTACAAATGGAACTATCAGTGTGATTTGGGAAGGAAAAGCAGTAATCTTATATCTGCTAACCTACCATGGCATTGCCTCACCAAGATTAATGACTTAATTTTGAATAGAGAGGATCACACTGTTTCACAATTAGAGTCTCAATATTATTAGTTATAGGAATGTAATTGTAACACAACTCCATCAGAATAAATGTATTGGATGAAAAATGTAAGAGTATAAAACATACCTGCTGATCAACTCTTGTGCACTTATCATATAAGTACATGTGTAGAAAATTGTTTAAGAAAGCCAGGTGATTTTTAACAAAATCATAAATAATTTCCTTACCCATGGCATTACTGTTCATAAGGAACACTCCAAATGAATGTCCACTCGTATCTTCCAGACATAAGAAGAAAGTATGAGCACCATACAGGTTGCTCATATCCTTTGAAGGAAACAACAACCAGTATTTAGTAAATACTAAACTTCATTAGAACTCCTAACGGAGGTGGTATTCAGCCAGTTCTGACCAGTTCTGGAGAACCAATAGTAGAAATTTTGAGTAGTTCAGAAAATAGGTAAATACTAGAGGTGGGATCAGCCAAACCAGTAGTAGTAATGGCGAGAAGCTCCACCCACCCACCCAGACGCTTCTGTGCATGCACAGAAGTGTCCAGCATGCATGCAAGCATGCATGGGAGCACACCCAAACTGGAAGTAAAGAAATTAGCAACCCACCTCTGATAAATAAAATCTCTGACAGGCCGCACCCCAATCTATTCTCTGACTCCCAAGTCCCAGTTGATTGGGAGGATATGAGGATTTTGCAGTAACCATCCCCTGGAGTGGTGTGGGGATGGAGATTTTACAGTATACTTCCCCTGCCATGTCCACCAGGCCATGGCCACAAAACTGCTAGTAAAAAATTGTGAATGCCACCACAGACTCTTAAGTGTTGAAATGGAATAACTTAAACTGCCTTGAACATGTATAATATTTTTTATCGTTCTCATACTGCTAAATAGTAGTATGTGGCTTGGTAACACCAGTGGTTTGGGAATCCATATTAATTTATCTATAATTAGATATTGGCCTTTAATTTAAGTGAAAAACCACATATCATATATCCTTGAATTTAGACCACAAATAAGTAATGAAATCCAGCGTCTTCTGCTTTTTCGAATATCTATTGTCAATCTGCTTCTTGCCCGACTGTCTAGAATCAGTGGATCTACTGGTTCTATAACAATATAAATAATTTATTCAGGCACTTGACATAAGACTGTCTACAAAGACTGTCCAAAAGCTACAGTGGGTCTAAAAATGTAGCCTATTCAGTTCTAGATTCTTGCTGCTACCACCAACCCCTCTCTTATTGTAACCCACTCATTCATGCCCATGCAAAAAAAATAAGTTTGCTTGTTTTTGTTTATAAGCATTTTTTCTGTTTCCATTTTAATACATTTTAAAAAATTATCTCAAGTTTTTCTAATATAATATGCCGATATTTTAAATGGGTTGCTATAAATGAAGTTTCTAATCCAAACTATGTCTGCTACCTTTGCTTTCTCAATTTTTTCATATATATTTGTGCACATTTCTGTGTTACTTTTGCTTACTCTGGAAGGGGGGTTCATTATTTGATTTAATGTACTATAATCTCAAAGCAAAATCTCTTTGAAGACCAGATTGCATAAGTTAGAAAGTTAAAGAAAGTTAAAATACACAATATTTGTCTTCTTTGTCCAATATTTTTTAAAAAAAACTGGAACAGCACCAATAACTATATTCTTATAATTCCTCCACCACCACCATTTCTCTACAGAAAGGGAAAAAAATGATTGCAAAAAAAATGATGCAATAGAAGTCAATAGAGTACAGGGAATCCTCAATTTACAACCATTTGTTTAATGATCATTTAAAGTTACAGTGGTACTGAAAAAACAACATTTTTCACACTTAACAACTTAGCATCCCCGATGGTCATGTGAAGAAAATTCAAATGCTTGACAATTGACATGTATTTATGACAGTTGCAGTGTCCCATGTCATTTTTTGAGAGCTTTTATGACCTCCTGACAAGCAAAGTCTATGGGAAAATCAGCTTCACTTAACAATCATGTCACTAATTTAACAACTGCAATGATTTACTTAACAACTAGGGCAAAAAAGGGCATGAAATGGGGCAAAACTCACTTAACAGCTATGTTGCTTACCAAAAGAAAATTTGGACTCAATTGTGGCCAGAGGTTGAGGGCAGTGGTGGGTTGCAGGGGGTACGCTCTGGTACAGGCATACCTGAACTTGCCCGGAGCACCGGATACCATTCCGTTCCGGTGCTCCCGAGGGCCCACCCGTCTGCCTGAGCTCCTTACCAGTCTTTTAAGTCTTCAGGGCTTATGTGCATGTGCATGGTGCGTACAGCACCTGCGTGACACTCCACTAAGCAGCTGGAGTATTGCGGGGGCGCTAAGACACATGCACGCGCTGGACGCATCTATATGGATGCCGCCAGGCCTATTCCAACCATACCGGTTTGAACGGGATCTGGAGCCACCACTGGTTGAGGGCCACCTATATTTTTAACAAGCCAACTGTGCTTTCTTCTCTTGTGGTTCTCCTTTATGCCTTGCCTGAATTTTAAGTAATGCTGTGCTTTCATTTTATTCACAGCCATGTAAGAATCATGTTTCTTGGTTTATTTACTTTGCTTTCCTCTGTTCATTTCATTCATACAGAATCTTTTATGTTCTTCTTTGTTTTACTGCCTCAGAAAAGCAAACCTGATACAGAATCAGAAGAAGATACTTACCCCATTAGGAAAAGCATCTCGGGTAAAAATAGGCCATGTTTTCCAGTTAAAATCATGCCGATATTGCCGATGCACATGTTCTCCTACACCATAAACATTCCAGCTAGGCACTCTAATGGAAAGCTGCAAGAACTGGTCGGCATATATCAGAGGTCCTATACTGGTGTTGAAGCTGTTTGAATGATCAAAGATATTATGTTTTTCATAAACTGGATTTTTAAAAAATGCATTCAATTCACACCGTATTCATACTAAGAATTCCTTGTGAAGAAAAAAAAAGGTAAGCAAAACACCAGCATTTGTCTAAAGTGACATAAGAGCTCAAAATTGGGCCACCAGTAAGAGCTATTGTCACCAAGGCAGGACACTACAGAACACCGGAAACATTTGGAAGAATAGATAATAGGTCTTTATTCCTTAACAAGCATTGCTCATTTTCTTGACTGCTGCTGATGTATTGTTTTAATTATCCCTTTTCAATATTGTGATAAGGATGTTACATAAATAAATGATGGCCGTCAAACTTCCCAGAAGGATGATTATTTCTGATTCTTGCCTAAAATGTGCAACAACAATGAATGTGCTAGTGGATACACTTTCATTTCATGTTGAACAACAGAGCGACAGATAGCAAAACCTGGTATGAAAAGTTCAAAAACATCTTTTGATTTAGAGTCTTTCTTGGGATGCTGTTGAACATGCAGGCATCTTATGATCTATGACCGTGATGGTGAACCTATGGTACGCGTGCCAGATGCAAGCTGACACCCTAGTTCAGCTCTACCAGCATGCGGGCATGCCTCCCGCCAACCAGCTGGTCTTCGGGTCTCTGCCACACATGTGGGTGGTGCATGCAGGGAAGCTGCAGGGGGAGTGTGTGGGGGCAAGTGCATGCATGCACTGGGACAGTGCATGCGCAGGGGAGTTGCGCGCATGCACAGGGGGCAGTGTGTGAGGGGGCACGCATGCTTGGGAGGTTGATTGAACTGTAGATTGCCTATATATAAAAATCAAAGAACAGAAAGATAACTTACAGGACTTTATTGTTGCTATTCCTGATCACACTGATTCCAAAAGGATTGTCTGTGACTTCTACTCGATACATTAAATTGGTTGCTTTAGATCCCTGGAAAGGCTGAACATTTTCATGTGGGACTTCAAATCTATCTTTGTTGGCAGGATCTGTAATCTGTTAAAACCAAACATTTTAAAATGAAATAAATGTTGACATAGTAAATGCACAACTTTCCCTCATCTGAAATATTCTTAGTTGGTGGTAAACTATATCAGGTTTAATAAATGTAATTAATTATATTAGTCTTGCAATATTAAAAAAAAAGATTCCAACATCAAGCCGCAACTAGCATGTTTTTTGATCTAAATAAGATGCCAGAAAACAGCTATGCTTGGAGAATCCTCAGGTATAGATAATACAGCAAGCACTAATAAGATAGGTAAAAGCTTAGCCATAAGAATGGAAGCCTAGGTCCCAAGGAATTAACATTTAGTTGTGGAAGCAACAGTCTTTCAGACAGCAGTTACGGTAAGCATACCAGTTTTAGACAAATTCTGGGCCCCTTCTTTTAAATGTAAGGGATCAGTATAATCAGTGTATACTTCATCTTCCACATCTCCTATTATTCATTTTATGTATTGATCAATCGAGCTACGCAATAAAGATATAGAATTCCCATAATTGATTAGATTGAGATGTTACCTATGTACAATAAAATGCATACTATTGTAACCAATCAAATAAAATATGATTTTTGTACGACCATAAAGAGGGTTTGCAATTCCACCTCTTTACACTTCGGGTTCTGATATCAAAAGTTGTGCTTCAATGTATTTGTGCTCTGATCTCTACAGTCCTCTATATTGAAAAAGATGGCATTTGTTAGAGAAATTTCTACAGCTGCAGATTTCTAGATTGATTGATCCTTCTCTGTTCTCAAAAATCAAAAGCATTTTTAGTTGTTTCATCATCCTGTTATCAGAAATTCAAAGCAATCTCTTTTTCATCACCTTTAAAGTATGTTAAAATTGTTTTCATCATTGTGAACCATGTTTTAAATACTTCATTTTTTATGTGCCCAACCCTATATTGAGCTCCCATGGTGCAGGGGTGAGAATGCAGAATTGCAGGTAAACTCTGCCCACAGCCAGGAGTTTGAACCTGACAGAGGTTAAGATTGACGTAGCCTTCCATCCTTCCAAGATTGGTAAAATGAGGACCCAGGTTGCTGGGGACAATACGCCGACATTGTAAATCATCCAGATGCTGTAAAGCACCATGGGGCAGTATATAAGTCTAAGTGCTGTTGCGATTGCTAGATCATCACAGGCATTCAATTAGAAAGTTTATAAAGGTTTTATGCCTGCTTTTTACTAATAGAGTTAAAACTGGCAAACTAGACAGATGGGTTTCTCAGTGAATATCTGAAATGTCCTGAGAAATTTCATATTGGCTGTGAACCAACATGAGAATGCTGATCTTAAGAAAGTTTTTTCCTGGAATATATAGAAAGTACCCTTCAATATATATAAGTAGATTGTTCCTAAATAGGTATGAAATATACCTATTTGTATGCTCATTTGCTTGATACTCATTTGCCTTAAGATGCAGAACATTTTACCTTAAGATGATGAATCACAAGGTTGGTTTTGCTTTATATACAATATTCTATAATTGGACAACATACCCTTTCAAATGAATATATATTTTTTTATCTTTGAAGATACAGAATAGATCTAAGCTGCAAAATTCCAGATGTTCACAATATGCGAGCAAAGATTTACTGCTTCCTATGTCTCTTTGCTGTTATCTAATGGACGTCTAGATTTTTACAATCCAGATCTAGTATACTTAGCAAAAATAATCACATTGTACAGACTGAAAATTTGCCGAGCCGAGGTGGCGCAGTGGTTAGAGTGCAGTACTGCAGGCTACTTCAGCTGACTGCAGTTCTGCAGTTCGGCTGTTCAAATCTCACCGGCTCAA